TACGATCAGCATTCACTTTCACTTACATCATTTTCTTGGATAATGTATTTTATTTTGCTTCCTCCGTCTTTCATTTTGATCACTTTTCCCCTCTCTTCCAGCATCAGAGCTCTTCTTGTCTTAGCTGCTTGACATCCAAAGGTCCGTTTTGTAGCCATTTTAGCAATGCAACGTTCATGCTGCGTCTGAATCTAATAATAACAAATACTTCCTGGACCTGGTGGCTTTTCTTTCCACCATCTCACTGTCTCTAACTCGACCTTCCCTCGATCGCTACCCAAGACAGCGTTGCTCAGCTGATGTCATGCAATGAACTTTTAAAGCCAGCCACGGGACGCTTCGTAGTCCTCGATGGTCATAGTTAGTGCGATGGAACTCGCCTTCTCTCATTAGCGCTCCAGTTAGCGTAAGGTTTTTAGCATGATAAGTAATGCATTCCAGGAAACGTTCGTTTATTTGACTGTCCGTCGAGCCACAAGCAATTTACTCAGAGTAGAATGCATCCGATTAGCTGCTCAATCTTCCAGGGATCTAGCTACAGTATCTATGCATATAGATAGTGAGGTCCCTCTTGGCCAATCGGAGGCCAGGATGATGCTCGGTAAGCCAATGGCAGAGCAGCTATGAGTATGTTGTGTTCAGGAAACTCGGAGCTGTGTAAACCAGTGTGGTGGTTGCTGTTGCCGTTTCTGAACGAAGCAGTAGAGGTCACTGTTGGATTAGACTTCATTGTAGTGAATCTCTTCGCGAGGCAAGAGCAGAGAAAACGATTTCGTATAACGCAACAGGGTTTTTTTTCGTTGTGTGGGGGGCAGGAGAGTGGGAATGGTGTTAATGCATCAAGATTTTTTTCACATTAGGGGGTATTTTCGCCCATGTAGGTTTCGTTGTAGAGGAGTTTCACTGTATGCTACAAAAAATACTTAAAAAAAAAAAGCATTTGGGGACCACTGGTCTACATGTTTTTAAATTCATTACACAAAGTAAAATGCCTTATTATTCTACAGGATGCAAACTAACATCAATTCAATGAACTTTTGGAATTTATTTTGTCCAGCGAAGACTGTGTGACCTGAAAAGCATGACCTTGCATTTCCAAAGCTCAACTTACTTCCTCTCCAAAAGTACAACATAATGCAGATCTGGAAGTCAATGGAAGTACTTTTTTTTTAGCAACACAGTTTTGACCTTCTCATGATGTAATGTAATTTAAAAAAAAAAGCAAAGTCAAACTGGACTAGGATTCCCTCAATTTACAGTTGCATTTTTATTTATTACTAAAGAGAAGTGTCTGTTCTATGGTAATAAGAAAATGCCATTGATACAAAATCTGTGAATTATCATTTCTTTTTTAATGGCAGGGTCCTGAAATGATTATCGTGAAAAAAAAAAAAAAGACATTTCAATGAACAATAATTTCGAAAAACTAATGTTCTTAAATTGCCCATTTCGACATGATTATCTTTCAAAAAGGCCAGTAATTGGTGCATTCCCACATGCAGATTCAAACTTTACAAACGATCAATGTGTGAAGCACAATTGGCAATCAGTTTGCTTCAAAGTTCAGAGTTCTCACCAATTCCTTTGACACAGTGCATGACAATGTCGAGTTCCTGTCCGGGACGGAGCAGCGCGATAAGGATGTCATCATGTACTGGTTCAATACTGGAGTCAGCAAACACATCTGCCTGGTTACCAATTGGGACCCATTTTATATCTCTGGAGTAGACTACAAAATAATGACATGTGACAATTAACAATGAAGACAAGATGGGAAAAGGGCTTGCTGAACTTCAGCTTTATAAATGAATGGTAAACTTTTATTCCATGACAGTGAACAATCTGGCTGTGGCGATCAAACATTTTTCGGATCAAATATTCTACTTCATACCATTGATTATGATAGTGTCCAATTAATTCACCAACTAACTGGATTAAAAAAAAATGCATGATATGCGTGTGAGGTACAAGGTATTATTTCCTGTCCAAAATGGCTCACCACTCCCACATTCTGCTGTTGTGTGAGTGACATTGATTGTGCATGGTTTAGGTGCCAGTCCTGAATCAGTTATAGGGGTATTACAATAGGTGATAATTGGCAGACAATACTAAATTGGCTAAAATCGACTTGTTACCTTGTGCTGATGATTGCAGACATGCTCTGATAGTACATGTTGCAATTTATCTTAGCTTTGTTGTTAAAGTGGAAGTTAAGTAAAAAGAACAAGGTCCATGGTGCCCCAACTCATCTAAACACGGTACACTGATTAATATTACATTTGTGGAATACAAATTGAGCAGAATAATCCACCAATTACAGTCAAACCTCGGTTTTCGAACATCTCGGTTCTTGTACAATTTGGTTTTCGAACAAAAATTTCGAGTTTTTTATGCCTTGGATGACGAACAAATTTCGGTTCTCGAACTAACTGAGCGCACTTTAATGCGTCACTTCACTCCTCTCGGCTTCGCTTCCTCATGTAGCGTCCATTGTGAGCAGACGTGTTTGTATTGTTCAATAAAGATTTTTTTTTTAAAAAGCAGATGTGTTTGGTGAAACGCTTCCTTGTGAAGTGTCCACTGTGAGCAGACGAGTTTGTATAGTTCAATAAAGATTAAAAAAAAAAAAAAAAAAAAAGCAGACGTGTTTAGTGAGACGCTTCTATTAGGGGGAGTGAAACCCCCCTCTATTTCAGAATGGTTTGCCCCAGCAGCACGGGGGAAGTGCATGCGTTTGTTGTCCGGCCGGCAGTTTTCAACACAGCGGCACATAATCAACACTCTGGTGTCTGGTGTCTCATTATTATGCAATAATCATACAGAAACAGCTTCCTCGTGTAGCGCCCATTGTGAGCAGACGAGTTCGTATTGTTCAGTAAAGATAAAGCAGACGTGTTTGGTGAGACGCTTCTGTTAGGGGGAGTGAAACCCCCTCTTTTCAGAATGATTTGCCCCAGCAGCACGGGGGAAGTGCATGCGTTTGTTGTCTGGCCGGCATTTTTCAATACAGCGGCACATAATCAACACTCTGTTGTCCGGTGTCTCATTATTATGCAATAATTATACAGAAACAACTTCCTCGTGTAGCGTCCATTGTGAGCAGACGAGTTTGTATTGTTCAATAAAGATTTTTTTTTTTAAAAAGCAGACGTGTTTGGTGAGAGCTACGTAATATCGGACTGTTATTTTTGCATCGTGTATCAGCCCCTAATCATGGCACCAAAGAAAGCAAGTGGAAGTGGTAAACCTGGTGAAGAAAAGAGAAAAATAGTGCGCAAAACTATAGAATTTAAGAAAGATTTGATCGCGAAATATGAGTCAGGTTTCTTCAATTTTTATGTTACTATGTTAATGTTAAAATTGGTGAAGATAAAACATAATTACAGTTTGTTCGTACAGTATTTTACATATTACCTGCTCTCTTATTACATGTGTACAGTTTATGGTGTGAAATTGTAAAAAAAAAAAAGTGGTTTAAAAAAGTTGTTTTCTTGACTTGGAACGGATTAAAAATTTTTACATTGATTCCAATGAGAAACATAGTTTCGGTTTTCGAACAGTCTTCTGGAACGGATTATGTACGAAAACCGAGGTTTGACTGTATTATCCCTCTCAGGGGACTGCCATTTTGTCCTTTACTGCCACCTGCTGTCGACTGAAATTGAGGTCAAAGTGCTCACGGGTTCAACTTGTGAACATTACAGCTCACCCGTTTTCTGGGTTGGGTCACAAAGTGTTTAAGGCACGTTGAATAGAGATGGAAGTGGACTTTCCTGAAAATTCCGGACAAAAATAAACAAATAATTCAGAGCCGTCACATGGACCGTCGAAACATTTGATAGCAGAGAGAAAATTCCTGAAAATACAAATGCGAGCATATATATATATACTGTACTATGATTTTAACTGACTTACCAGGTTTGTCAACCTTTCTAACCTCCTAAGACCTGAACTCTTGCAAGGCATGCATTTTTATTTTATTTTTATTTTCTCTTTGATATTTAGGCTAATTGAGACCTGATGAGTGTAAAAACAAAGAATTATCTTTTTACATGATGTAACGTCCTCGTAAGTGGACGCCAGGCCCTTGTAGTCCAAAATTTAACATTGCAGTCTTGACAACCCAAAACGTCATGTCCACACATGTGGACGCCAGGTCCCAGGAGGCTAATGTCGTCGGACAAAAAATCTCTGTTTCCTCAAGCCATGACCACTTGTGAACGTGTTCCTAACACTCACGTCTATTGCACGTATGTCAGCTTGCCTACCTGTTTGAACAGTGCGCTGTGGCCGTACCTGGCTGATCACGCATGAATTACTTTACACAAAACGCTATTCAAATACTTGACATTCAATGATTAATCTGCTTTTTATGTGCATGCGTGCACCCTTTGTGGGTTCCGTTCTCGCCGACATGTCGAAATCTCTGAGATATGGCGAGGCCATGAGAATGCGAGGGGAGGGGCTACTAGAGTTAGTGCCTCAACATGGCTACGCTCGTGAAAGCAAAACAATGAACTCAAATGCGTGTTCGTTCAATGTTGTTAACTAATATCCGGATTAACTTTAGGCAATTTTTCCTCAATTTTCCG